ACATAGGAAGCATCAAAAGAAGATGGAAAGAATATACAAAGTCATTATACCAAAAAGAAATGGTTGATGTTCAGCCATTTCGGGAGGTAGCATTTGATCAAGAACCAATGGTATTGAAGGAATAAGTCCAAGCTTCACTGAAGGAACTGGTAAAAAAATAAATAAATGAATAAGGTTCCAGAGGGACAGAGTAGTTGAACCGGTGGGCATGGGACCCTAGTTGCAGGGGACATCAAGCTCAATTGGCATAATATACTACACAAAACACTGTTCCACCTCCTACTTTGGTGAGTAGCGACTGGAATCTTAAAAGCTTCTAAGCAGCTGTCTAGATGCAATGATGGGTCTCTCCTCATCCAGAGCAAAGAAGAATGGAGAAAACCAAAGAGTCATGGAAACAATCAGTATGGAATATACCTCAACATAAAGAAAACAAAAAATATCAGAACTGGACCAATAAGGAATATCACGAGAAACAGAAAAAAAAGACTGACGTTGTCTAGGATTTAATTTTACTTGGATCCATAATCAATGCCCATGGAAGCAGCACTCGAGAAAGCAAACAGTGTGATACACTGGGCAAATCTGCTGCCAAAGACCTCCTTAAAGCGTTAAAGAGCAAAGATGTCACTTTGAAGACTAAGGTGTACCTGACTCTAGCCATGATATTTTCAATAGCCTCATTTGCTTATGAAACCTGGACAATGAATAAAGCAGACCACAGAAGAACTTGATGTGTTTGAATTGTGGTGCTGGCAAAGAATACTGAATGTGCCATGGACTGCTAGAAGAACAAACAAATCTGGAGGAAGAATAGTTGGAATGCTCCTTAGAAGTGAGAATGGCCTCACTTTGTCTCTCATATGGTAGTCCTGAGCGAGCTCCATGATTCTTGCTATACTTGAGCCCATCGCCGCTTCCACCATGTCAATTCATCTCATTGAGGGCCTTCCCCTCTTCCGTCGACCCTCCACCTTACCAAGCATGACATCCTTCTCCAGGGAATGGTCCCTTCTGACAACACAACCAAAGTAGGTGAGATGAAGTCTGGTCATTCTTGCTTCCAAGTAGCATTTCCGCTGCACTTCCTCCAGGACAGAACTGTTAGTTGTTTTAGCAGTCCATGGTACTTTCAGCTTTCTTTGCCAACAGGTCATATTGTTAGATGGGACAAATCCCCAGAGAAAGATATCATACTTGATGGAGTAGAAGGTCAGTGAAAAAGGTGAAGACCTTCAATGAGATGGATTGACCCAGTGGCTATGATGATGAGGCGCAAGGATGACAATGATTGTAAGGATGGTGCAGGACCAGGCATTGTTTCTTTCTATTGCAACCAGAGCTGGCTATGAGTTGGAATCAACTCAACAACACCTAACAACAACAATATACACTAGTAATAACTAATTAGGAAATTAATAGAAAAAATAGGATTCCATTCAGGCCAGTAATAAAAATTCATAAAATATTTAAAATGAAACTAACAGGAAGTATGTAAAAATTAGGCAATGAAATTTTAAAACTTTACTAAAATAATATGAAAAGTCATACATAAATGAAAACATGCCATGTTTCTCAGTGAGATTATTCAATACTGTAGATGTCAATTCTCACCCAAATTACTCTCTAAATTTATTGCAACTCCGAAGTAAATACCTATAGGATTAAAAATTACATTATGAAATATCTCATAGAAGGAAAAAGATATAAAGCATAACATAACAAGGACCTATCAAAGCATAATATAATTTTCAATACAGTTGAAAAAGAAGAGCTATGAAACAGATTCCCCTTAGAAAACAACAAAATATACAATGCAACTGCAGCAATCAAAACAGTATGGCATACACACAGGGCAATTAGGTGTATCAATGGAATGTTGTTGTTGTTATGTGCTGTTGAATCGGACCTGACTCATAGCGACTCCTCCTTGGGTTTCCGAGGCAGTATCACTATGAAAGTAGATCGCCCAACCTTCCTTCTGAGGAGTGGCTGGTGGGTTTGAAATGCCAGCCTTCTGCTTAGCAATGGGATAAATTTCAGAAATGGTTTCTTAAATACATGAAAATACAGTACATAAAAGGTGATATTTCCCATCACTAATAAAAAGACTCAGTGACTATAAACTATCTTCAGACAGCTGATTAGCATGGAAGAACTCCTACCTTACATCACACACATTAGTCAATTTTCCATTCCACACGGATCAAAGAGCTAAATGCAAAAAACAAAACGAAAGTAGTATAAGAAAACAGGATAGATTTTCCTTTAAATACTGAGGTGGTAAAGGTCTCTTTAAGGAAATGTGAATATATTGAAAGAATCCACAAAGTTAAAAAAAAATAAGTTGATAAACTGAGATAAACATTTATAACAAAGGACTATTAAGTTACAATATATTACAGAGCTGCAAAACAGACTAACACATACAAAACACTGTAAAACTATCTCAACAGGAAATTCAATGAAGAAGAAATATACAAATCTAGACTAAATATATTAAAAAGATGCTTACCCTCACCAGCAATCAAGTGAGTACAAATTAAATAACATGTATATATATTATGACCATCAACAGAAATATTAAATATGTTATGACATACTTATGTCATGAATACTATGAAGACTTCAGAAACGATGCCAAAAGATTTACACTTAAGCATGAAATAATCTGATACATATGGTTAAGTGCAAGTGACAAAACAATATGTATAGCATAAAAAACATTTACTCAGAAATAATCAAAGCTGTTGTTGTTGTTTGCCATCGAGTCGGACCCGACTCATAGCGACCCCTCCTTGGGTTTTCGAGGCAGTATCACTACGGAAGTAGATTGCCCCATCTTCCTTCCGAGGAGTGGCTGGTGGGTTTGAACCACCAGCCTTCTGGTTAGCAGTCAAGTGCCTTAGCCACTATGCTACCAGAGCTCCCAAGAGCTATATACACCAAATTCTAAGAGATTTCACCTGGGATCAGTGAGACTGGGAAAAGAGGATAAACGGAGGAGTCCCGTTTTTTATTTTTTCTTGTCTATTCTGAGTGAATTTTCATAATAAACATTCATTCATATGTGTGTAATTATATTTTTAAATTCAAGCCTTATCCTTCCTTTTATGTTGTTATAAAGGTAAACAAAAAATAGAATAATCATCCATCCATCCCAAGTATCTATATTCTTCGAAGTACCATACTTGATCCTGAGGATACAAAGATCAAATATGGTTACAGCCCCTAAAGCATTCAAAATTTGGTGGGAGAAAATGTTGAAATTTTAAATAAGTTATTTACTATTAAAAGAGTTCTATGCCCACCAAATTTTGAATGCTTTAGGGGCTGTAACCATATTTATGGTAGCATAGTGCCCAAGGCACTTGACTGCTAACCAGAAGGCTGGCGGTTCCAACCCACGAACCACTCCTCGGAAGGAAGATGGAGCAGTGATACTGCCTCGGAAACTCAAGGAGGGGTCGCTATGAGTCAGGTCTCGACGGCAAATAACAACAACAATATGCTATAATAATAAAATAAAATAACAGCTGTGAGAATACAGATGAAGCATATAAGTGAAAGTCTAGGAAGATTTTGTAGGAGTGATATTTGATCTAGGCATCTTAAAAGATGATAGAAATTTTCTGGATTTGGACATTGGAGGACAGGACTTTAGCACAGGTAACAACACGTGCATAGATTAGGAGGTATAAAATGGGGCACACGTCCCAAGAAGCAGTCAGCCAAAACCAGTCACTCATCTATATAACTTAGGGCAAAAACTTGGGAACCTGTTTCAACTGAAAATATGGAGAATGATTCGTCCCTCACAGAACTGCTATAAGGAAATGAGACAATAAACCAAGAAGGATGTGAAGGCAATTTGGCTGCCAGATATTCAATATTCCACTCGACTGATTTCCAAGGAGCTATTTCTCCTCAGGTTATTGTCTCCTTTCTCTCTCATAGCCAGAAGCTGTCTGTTTCACAGAACACAACACTGCTAGTCATGTATAATGGCCTGGTACAGTTATTGACACATAGTACAGTATGTTTCACTTAATGTCCACAATACATTCTGTGAAATAGGACATTATGTGATTTGGACGTAGTGTAAACACCGTATTATACACAGGAGAGAGGTGTGCAGGATGGTCACGGGGCAGGCCTAGGACCCATGAGGCTACAGCCGTGCTGAGGGGGCTATATGAAAATTTTGGCTCTGCCGCCACTGGTCCTGTATGGGACACTGATTATCTCCAAGTGCCCAGCCCCCACCCCCACCCCACACACACACCATCCAACCTGCTGCCACCACTTCCCCTTCCTTCCTTCATCCCTGCCTGTCTTCCCTGCTCTCTAAGCCCCACAGTGGGCTTAAAATATTCCAGCCCCATCCCATGCCTCCTTCTCCTCCTCAACTTCCTCCTCCTCCTATGGCTGCCTTTCCTGCTCCTGCTCCTGCCACTGCTGCAGTGGAAGAAGCTGCTGTGGAAGAAGCTGCAATTTCAGGCCCAGGCTGAGTGGGGCAACAACCTTGGTCAGGCATCACCTCAGCAGCTCTGGTGGCATCGGCATGGTCCCTGCCTGAGGTGAGTGCACTGGGACAGGGAGCCATGGGTGGACACCAGGACCCCTTACCCCTGCCACCCTAGATCCAGGGTAGACATGGGACCCAGAGAGCCAATAAGAGACATATTGGGTCTCTGTGCTTAGCAAAGTACTTCCACTATGTTCCATTCTCCCACTGGTATTTCTGAACTCTATTATAACCTAATGGGACCATGATGTGTATGCGGTTGGACTGGAATGGACGTTAGGTGACATACCTGTATTTACTCAGGAAACGTTAATTTTTTAAAAAACAAATGTTCAGAGTTCCACTGAACAATCCATGGCACTCCACAAAACTGCCTGCAGTTACTCCTAAGGTCCTGATTCTCAGTCTGAGAAGCAGTGGTATATTTAGTAAGCATCCAACCCCACATGTATACGTATTACTTCATACTTACAGGCTGAGGCTGTTCTGCAATACAGCAGTTGAAACACAACCAGAATTCACTCATGCTTATAGTCCCAGGTATAAATAAGCACCTATGAAGATTCCAAATCTCAACTCAGGAAGCTCCACAAAGGATGTTCCTCAATATGATGAATGTCCGATGACGTCAAAATAATAGTTTAATTTCTTCACTGTGTTTTGTTCCCTGGAAGTCAAGTATCTTATGCAGTAAATGTTAAAAAGAAAGAGGCTGTTTCTTTTCTTTGCTTCTGGTTCTACAGAGACTTGTTTCTGAGCCACCGGGAAGGGATAAAAATTGCTGTCTGGACCCAGGACCTATAACTGGTAGTCTAGAAAAAAAAGAAAAAGAAAAGTTGTTACTTTCTTTATGTTTTATCCTAAATCTAGGATAAAATTAAGAGTAAATATTATTCAAAGAAGTAAACACTGAAAAAAAAATCAAGATTTTAACAACTGAGTACTTTTTGAACACCTTTTGAGTGTCAGGTGCTAGGGATACAACAGTGAAAACAGAATGAAATCCTTGACTTCATGGACTATTCTATTTATGACAATGACAATATAAATTACTTTAATAAGTTTATGTTTTTTAAAGAAATCACTAATTAGAACACAATGATTACCATAAAAATCTCTGATTCCAAGAAATACTGATGATCATTTTTATATAGTTTCTTTGACTGAGTTCCTTTATTCTCATAGACAACCCAGACTGTAATTGGCACAGCAATCAACTCTTAAGTAAGCACCTCTAGCTCATCAAAAGCTATAAGCAAAACTATCACCTTATTATCAAAAGTCGAAAAGTATTCACAGGGGTTCAGTTAGGCTGGGGTGAGCGTGTGTGTATATGTGTGTTTGAATAAACCCATTACCATCACTACCACAGGAATGAGTAAGTGTCAGTCAAAATACTTTATATCCCACTCTGGCCAACTACGCCGAGCCAAACAGAATCTGAGGCGAGTTCACTGGGACAGGCAGCCATGGGTGGACACCATCTCCCACAGAGATGGTTCTAAGATAATAACGCTGGTAAGCACAGACAACAAGAGAAGTCTAGATGACATGAATTTCTGGTTCCAGTCATATCTAAGGTCCATTTCATCTGTGCATTTGGGGTTTGGTTCTGTGAGTCAATGTTTTTCTCCCTTTTGGCCTGAAACTATTTTGAAGTAGGTTTCCATCAACTTCAGCCTAAATATAACAGTCAAATGAATATGTCTAGCACATACTAGATATATAAGTTTGAAGCCAAAGAGCAGTCTTGGAATGATTAACAGATCATAATTGAAGCAATGAGGGTCACTACTGAGGGATAGCAGTATCCTAAGAAGAAAGGAGGGCTGAGACAGAGATCTCTGAGGCAGACCAACATTTACCTAATGGGCAGAGAAAGAGAAGCCTGTAAAGGACGCTTGTATATTAACAGAGAGAGAAGGAAAACCAGTTAAATATGTCACTGAAGCCCGTTTCAAGGAGGAAGTGGTCAACAGTATTAACTGTCAATGAGATAGCAAAGTCTGAGAACTGTTCGTTAAATTTTGCAGCAAACAGATACTTGGTGACCCAGGTTACAGCCGTTTTAATGAAGTAGTATGGACAGAAACCAGCTTATAGTGGTTTGAGGAGTGAAAGGAAAGAAGTAAAGTCATCAACTATAATTGATGTTTGCAAGAAAACTGGGTATGAAATTAAGAACGATAAGGGGGTAGGGATGCTGAAGAGAAAAAGACATCCTTAAAATGAAAAGATCAGAGCCAAAAGATATAATTTGATTATTCAAAGAAATGTATTATTTTTGTCCCATGTGGTGAAATGAAACATGTAAATCACATTCTTATAAATTTTAAGAGGGTTCATATATTTATACCCATTGCCATCAAGTTGATTCCAATTCATAGTGACCCTACAGGGCAGAGTAGAACCATGCCATGGGGTTTCCAGGACTGGAAATCCTCTGGGAAGCTGAGTGCCACATCTTTCTCCCAGCTGGCTGGTTCGAATCGCCAGCCCCTAGCTTAGCAGCCGAGCCCTTAGCCACTGTGCCACCAGGGGTCCTTCATAGAATCACAAGCAATATGCAAATCACTAATAACTATATTATAGGATCACAGAAACCTGAACATCTTTAGTGAAGCAAAATTCATCCCTTTTGCTTTTAATCATCTCTCACAATCTTGACTCTAAAAGTAGTAAGTCAGGAAAGGCAGCTTTTTCATATTTGTGTAGATGAAGATCCTCAGTGAAGATCAATGTACGCTCAACATCACAAATCCAGGTAGTAATAAGGCATGAATTTAGAACCTTGATTCTATCAGAGGACAAGTGCTCTAACATACGACAGGAAAATAACATGTCAAGACTTAAGCAAATGTTCAAGGAGGAAGACTGAAGAAAGAAAATTTACATTCTCACCATAGCTAAAATTCAGAACCTGGAATGTTTACTTTCAAGCAGTCAGGGTGAACATTTCTTATCTCACCCAAACTCCAAACCAAGAAAGTGGCACTCTGTCCACTGAATGGGCAAATACCAGGAAGGTTTGTAATCATCTTCTCAAAATTACAAAATGTTTCACTAGCTTCCTCCATCTAAACTTTTTAGGAAAAATATGAGAGGAAAGGGTTAAATTCACAGTATCATGAACACTGTATCTGGAGTTGCTATTTAACAACTTTAACTTCACCCTGGATCAAAGACCTTGGCCACTAAGAAGTCATGTGACAACCACACATCGTGAAAATGTAATTGATGTCACTGAATAATTTGTGTAGAAACTACTAAATGGGAAACTAATATGCTGTGTAAACTCTCACTGAACACACAAGAAAATAATTATGTTTTGAAAAAATCATATGAAATGAAATCTCTTTTAACCGATTCTACAAAAACAAATATGCCTTTGTTTGAAAATGAAAATTCTTTATGTTCATCACTTGTAGCATACATATATATGGAGCTACTCATGTTTTCAAATATATATATTGCTTGGTTATATCATACCTTCCCTTTTACTATAAAGGTGGGCAATTTCCTTTTTATTTGTAAGTTACCTTTACCAGAAACTACCACCAAATATTAACTTTACATTGGGAGGTGTTGCATTTTCTTTTTCTTCTCTTTTTAACTACTGCCTTCTACTGAACACTTAAAATTAGTAAACGGCTTTCTACTTTATAATCCATAATAAATGCTTTCTTTTACTACCTCTACATTTTCCTAATTCAAATTTCCTTCTGATTTAGATTGAAACTACTTCTTATTTTATGAATTTAAAAATATACATTTTCCCACTCCCATGTACTACTTTGTAAATGACATTCACAATATTTTCTATTACTTAAATGTTTGAAGAATGACTGTTTAAAGCACAGTAATTAGTGCTTCTGCTTTCAGAGGCAAAAAAGAAAGAATATACAGCTTTTCTTAGGTGTCTCCACCTGGAAGACACATCTGTTAAAATGAATTTTCAAACCAAGGAGGTGTTTGCTACTTCATGGGTTTTTGTTAATATATATACCTTAAAATGTTTCAACCATACCTTGAAAGTGATACTAAATACATTTTCTATCTTCCTGCTTTTTTAAAATCAACTTCCTTTTAATTTTTTGTCAGAAGTGAACATACCAGAAACAGATTTATTAATAAACATCTTTAGAAAAGAAGTGAATTCTTCACAAAATTTCAACACAAGCACTAATAAGAAATGTACTAATAGTTATGTTGATTTCTTAAATTAAGCTTGTCTAGAATGTGTCTACTTTAAAAACTTTTGACTTCTTTTGGTTTTAATTTTAAGGTAACAAAAGAAGTGTCACTTTGCAGTAACATCAACATCTAAACTTGGTTTTTATACACAGCTCAGCACATTCCACACATAAATAAGGGGTCAGACTGGTCTGCAGCACAAGAGAATGTTTCACACACTCATAGATTCATGGGATTTTAGAAATGGACTGAACCTTGAAGATAACATTATGGAACTTATTTTAAAAATGAGGACACTCAAGGCCGAATAGCTTGAAGTGAACTATCTAAGTCTGCTTAGCTAGTGACTGGCAGAGCTTCCTTGTAAAAGCCCAGTCTCTGACAGAGGAAAGTGGAACGCATTCTCTGAAACGGTTTCTCTGGTTAAAATACTTACCAATATCAGTTCCCCTCCTCCTCACTCTCTCCACCAAAATTATATGCTACATATAAAAGCTTTCTACCTGTGTGAACAGTTTTGTTACTAACAATTTAACGAAGTTATGTCCAACACCCTACCTACAATTCAACAAAGTTGCTTTTAGGTCTGCTTCCAAAGAAACTTAATTTGAAAAACAGGGCAATGGGGGCATCATTTTTTGCCAAGTAATTACTTTTTAAGTTTTTTTTTAATTTGAAATACTTTAACTCATTTCACACATATAGCATGCTCAGTTTGAAATTGAATCTAAAGTTAGAATTTAGATTTTTAAACAAAAGATCTATGGTACTTCTAGTATGTCATTGATCATGAGGTACATTAGCCTGAAAAAGCAGCAAGCTCTATCACCCATAGTTTTCTCAACTATAAAATGGATTACTGTACTGCCAGTTTCACAGGTCTGAAATGAGGATTAAGTGGGAAGAGATATATGAAGGCATTTAATATATTATAAAGAGCTGTATTTGTGTGTTTTTATGTATTATCAGAATAAAATGGCAGATACAAGACGCAAAACCAGATCATTTCTGTGCTAAATTTTGGAAATAGTTCTAGATTTTAAGAAACAATCCAAAAGTCTATCCAGGAAAGAAAAATAAATAAATAAACACATTGTGGTATATTCATTAAAAGCCTACTGCACAAAATGAAAATGAGCGACAGCTCCACGCAGTAACACGAATAGCTCTCATCAATATGTTAAGCAAGACCCTACATACATAATAAATAAATTGAGTGATTTTCTTTACATGAATTTCAAATTATTTTGTTTAGAGATATATACCTGGGTATAAAAATTAAAGTAAAGCAAGTAAATTATTATATAGACAGTAGGGTAGTCCTTTAGGGATGAGGGAAGGGGCTGTGGCTAAAAGGAGATGCATGGTAGCTTCTGGCATATTGGTAATGTTCTATTTCTTGATTTGGATTACTGTATTTTATTTGGGTTACACAGGTATTTACTTTGTAAGTTGGGAGCTCTGGTAGCATAGTGGCTAAGACACTTGCCTGCTAACCAGAGGGCTGGCGGTTCAAACCCACCAGCCACTCCTCGGAAGGAAGGTTGGGCAATCCTACTTCCGTGGTGATACTGCTTCGGAAACCCAAGGAGGGGTCACTATGAGTCGGGTTTGACGC